CTGACACTGTCGATAAACTCTCATTCAGGTTGCGTGTCCGTGCTACTTTCCACAATTCGTCGATCAAGAGTATACTTATATAATTACATATCTATTTACATTCGCGTAATTTTCTTATTGTAGAATAAAGTATTGATAAATATTAACATTGGTATATATATTTATCAACATGTACATATTTATATATATTACTTATATGTATGTATATAGCATTTTATTATTTAAGAAAAAGAGAGCTTAAATAATGGTATTAAAATAAAATATTCTGTTATATCTAGTTTATCATTTTTGATAATAAAATTATTTTTATAATTAAATAATTATACATTTGGTGATGAAAAATTCATCGCTGAATGCATCGTATCGCGTCAGCGAACATGCGAGAATTCTGACAAAGAAACTCCGTGTAATCGTAGTATTATATGTACATGAAATGTATCAAAGATTGTGTAAGATTAACTGAAATATATAATAACGATTAGAAAATAACTTGAATGTATTCACTTTAAAATTATATTTTTATAAAAAATTTATTTAAACTAAAATTATTTAAAAATAGTATTTGATAAATTTATGAATCAATGAAAAAAAATGAAATAAAAACTATAAAAAATATTAGGAAATAAGTATAGCTAAAATAGATGTGTAATTACATAGCTATACTCTTGATCTACGAATTGTGGAAATAGCACGGACACACACCAGAATGAGATTTTATCAGCAAATGGAAGTGGCTACTTAATTTCAATATGCTAAAATAGAACTTGGAAATGCTAGTTTACGAAGATTTTGACAGTACGAAAAAAGCCGGAATGGCCGTTCGCAGTCATTTCTCTGAATATAACTATGTTAGTATAGGGATAATTAAAAAATGTAATAAAAGTATCTAGTGACAAAAAATATTCAGTTGGCAGCATCATAGAAACGCATAAGACGTGAGAAAGATCAACGAGAATGTGTGGTCGTATTTGTTGGTGAATAATTTTGTTATTTTGTCATTAATCATCTTAATTTGTACAACGTATTTAATTGATAAACAAGTCAATAGAATATCTTATAATTTTATTTTGAAATATCTTATAATTTTATTTTGAATTTTTTTATTCCAATTGATCTTTGTTTCTTATTAAGTTTATTTTGCAGAACTTCAATCCAATCGTTCTATCATTAAAAAGTAATATATTTACATAATTTTTATTTATATAACATATTATAATTTTATAATCAATACTACTAACTATTTCACATGGATCAAATGTCTATCTTTTGGCAATAACTGTGAGAATTCGTGAAATGATGTACTTCACTTTAGTCATTTATATATATGGAATTAAATTTAAACGGAATGATAACATTTGAATTATAAAATGACAATCTGTCTATTCTATTAATAATTTTATTTTAGTCTATTAATAATTTTTAAGTTTCAATATTTTACATCTTGATTTATTTTAAAACTATACAGAGTTACTTAAATTCTAATAACTATAAGAAAAGAATTGTATTTATTGCTCTCAGTTTAATAAAACTAAATTTAAATTTATTAAATTAATAAAAAAACTTAATTTGTCCATTGAGATATTGTTTGAAAGTTTATATGTCTTATAAGATGTATTATAATTTATAGCTCATTAGACGCAGACACTTTGTGTTGTGCTTGTGGATATAAGGATACAGATGGTAAACAACATAAACTGACATGGGCTAACAATGAATTAAAATATAATCCATCATATAATATGTGTCCACAAGATGTTTTACCCTGTATAATGTCTGGTTCACATTTTGGAAGAGAAAAAGAAGAAAAAGTTCTTTGTGCTATGATATGGGGAATGATTCCACCATGGCATCAGGCAAGTTACAATATAAGGCTTTAATAAATTTGATACTTGTTTTTTGCAAATTGGTTACATTTAAGTATGATTGAAAATAATTATTATAAAATACAAATGTTAGATTTTTAAATTACTTTTATCAATATGAACATGTTATAGGGAAATTATAAGGATCGTTCAAATAATATATCCACTCACAATAGTCGTCTGGAAAATATAAAAACATCTACAGTATATTCTCCATCACTGAAAAACCAACAAAGATGTATTGTAGTTTGCGAAGGTTTCTATGAATGGAAACCTAGTATAAATAACAAACTTCAAAAGCAGCCATATTATATATATACAACTCAAGACAAAGATATAAAAGCAGATGATTCTACAACATGGGCTAATGAATTTTCTGAGACAGATGGATGGAAAGGTCTCAAATTATTGAAGCTGGCTGGATTATTTGGAATACACAAAAATGAAGAGGTACATCATCTTTGTCTCTACGATATGTTATATTGGAAATATTTAAGATTTAATAGTAATCAACTGATATTCTAGGGAAAAACTATATATAGCTGTACAATTATTACAAGAGAGAGTAACAAGATATTGTCTTGGCTGCATCATCGCATGCCTGTATGTCTAAGTAATGAAGAAGAATGTCAAGTAAGAGTTTATATAATATCATATATAATTTGTTGAAAGATATTTATTCATTAAAGATATTGTACGTTTTATATATTTTTTAACTTACTAATATCTCTATGCAATTTATTTTTAGGTATGGTTAAGTAAAGATTTATCGATAGATGCTGCTATTAAAAGGTTAAATGATATGGTATTACAAGAAAATGCTTTAACCTGGCATCCAGTATCTACGATAGTCAATAATGGAAACAATAAAACTATCGATTGTAGAAAAAGGATAAAACTAAAGTAAGTAGAAAGCTAAAAGTAAATAATTCATTGCTTTCTAAAACTGTATATCAGAAAAAGCTTACATATTATGTAGATTTTTTAAATTGTAAGGTTAAATAAATTATTGACTTATTATTATATAGAGAGATCAGTCAGGCATCTTTCATGACTTCCTGGTTGCAAAAAGGATCAGCTGCTTCAAATAAAAGAAAAAGCACAGATGATAAAGATATTAACAGTGAAGAAGAAAAGAAAAAAATCCGAAAGGAAAATTAAAATTTGCGGGAAGCTGCTAATTAAATTTCCATATATCTCATCTTCTCTTTCAGTATTTTTTTAAGATGTACTGTAAACATAAACTTGTATATAATTATTGTTTTAATTATTAATTTAACTAATTTATAATTATCATAAAAACTCAGGAAATACAACTACCTCTTAGAATTACATTTCTATATCATATATTTTTATAAAAAATATTTTGGGAGTAAAATTTGTTCTTTCTAAAGATAAAAGATTCCATATTTAAAATTATTTACAAAATATATTCAGAATATATTCATAAAATAATAGACTTGTAACTAAGTGAATTACAGATAGTTCGAATAAAACCGAGTGCATATTATAATTTTATCATATGAAGAAAATGAAAAATTGATAATTCTATTCACATTATTAACAAAATGGTACAATTGAAATCACAAGTAAGGTTTTTTGCTTAGCGAATAAAATGTAAGATCGCGACGTCGAGGAATGAAACGTTGACCAATAGCGTTCGTTTTCGAGCTAGAATCTTCGAACTGTACGGTTGGCAGCGCGCTAGCGGCCGCGCCATGTCGCTACCGCTGCCGCCGTCCGCGAGTTCGCGCAGTATGCGCGTTCTGACCGCGATAGACCATAGGTTACGTGCGTAAGTCGTAAGTACATACGTACTCTTCGTAGAAGGACCGTAGAAAGATCGCTGCTTGCGTTGCGCGACTCTTCGTCGTGGTTCGACAACGAAGTGGCCGTTGCTCGTCGACGAGAGGAGAGAGAAAAAGAAGAGAGAGAGAGAGGATTGACACATGGCACGTTGACTCCAGGTGACGGCGAGTCGAGTGGCAGGAAAACAAGAGTCAAAAGAATTACGCGCGCGCGGCCCAGCCTCCTCGCGAGTGAGTGAGTGCGTGCGTGCGTGCGTGCGTGCGTGCGTGCGTGCGTCTGTCGTTGCTCTGTGCGTCGTTGCGTCGTTGCGTCGTGTCTTCTATTTGTCGCGTCCTGTTAGGATTTGAAGAAGCGGCGAAGCCGACGCCAGGATGACCGAGGAAACGCTCAGGAATGTGATGAATGTCGAGACGGTGTATCACGAGGTCAACTCCAAGAACGCTTGGGCGGCTTTCTATCAGGTGAGAGAGGCGAAGAACGAGGGTGAAGGAAGGACGGATGAAGGAAAGAAGGAAAAAAAGGTGGCGGAAGGAGAGGGCGAGGGAGAAAACGGCTCGTTTCTTCCGCTCGACGACGGCTCTTCCGCTGCCGTTTCCGCGAGCGGGATCGCGTGATTCTAAACGGGCGGCTCGGTGTTTCTCGGCTGACACATATCGTGCCGGCTCCTCATCACGTACGTGTAGTAATTCCTCGTTACCGCGCGTTCTCTTACCTTTTCTTTCTATGTCTCTTTCTCTCTTTCACGTCTTGCGTCCCGCGTTATCATTTTCCCAAGATCACTCTCCTTCCGCGACCGCTGTTCTCGCTTTCATAAAATCGTATCCGCGTAGGTGTCACGGGCTGTCAAGACTCGGCGGCGATCGCAGACGCATGGAAATTAAGTGACGCCGTGGAGAGAACTCGATACATTTCGTCGTTATCGTAAGAAATCCATGAATGTTGCCAGTCGTTGCCAAATTGATTTTTTATGCAGAAAAATGCGTAAGATAAAATCAGGTCGCGATATTCATTATTGTGCACACACTGAAATGTACAGACATAACAAACTTTCCTTTACGCATTCAATTCGCAAATTATTTTGCGTTTGCCGAGCAAATCTCGGAAATATGTTTGAGATGGTTTCTTTCTCGCGTGCCTGTGGTCGATGGCGATCCATAATATCTTATACGTCAACACAGAGACAATAGGCGGTAATATCGTTCGACGCCGACACGCGGATTCGCCGAACGCGATACGGTTTCCGCGTTATTGCGCTGATGCTATCGAGGATATTCGCGACGCCGGAGAGAAACGCGATTCGCACGGATTTACGACATTTGGATCGATTTAAAATTTCCCCGGAAGGAAAGCGAATGTCTAACCTGAGAGAGCCCGAGAGAGAAAGAGAATAGACTATATTCGTGTGCACGTGTACGATACGATTGTGCTCGCCAAGGTCAGGCTTCCTCGGAAATACATGGTTTCAGTGTGTTTCAGCGATCGCACAATTTCTCCGAAGCGAAACATGAGAAATTTGACGATGACAATACACCTGATACTAGAGTCTCTTTACTCTGAAATCATATTCCCGTTAATTAAGTTTTATATGAATAATTTTCATTTACGGAGCGTCGCTTTATCAGATTTTATTTTTCATACAAACGTCGCTAATTTAATATAAATTGTAATGTGTTATAATATACTACAAAAATGTGAAGTTTCTCGCAACTTGTTTCTTACAATACAATATTTGATTTGTATATTCTAAATATTAATTGCTAATTTGATTCTCTATTTACAAATATACAAGTAAATATGTTGTTTCAATCAATTTCTACAGATTTACCTGATTTTACCTAGATTTTAGAAACAATAATACTATTGTTAATCAAATCAATTTAATTAGTGATGAAATGTTCAAAATCCATTCCAGCTTTTTTAAGACATCAAGCTTTGAAATTTATATAAAAGGTTTCTACATAATTTTACTTTAATTATTATTAATCTGTAAACTTTTAATATACTCTTATATATTTACATAGAAGATAAACTTTTTTTTAAATACTTTTTTGTATATTTTTTTGTATACTTGACTTACAATTTATAACATTACATAAGTGATAATATACTTTTAACTTTTTTGCAGGACATACGTAATAAGTGTGAAAGTTTTGAATATACATGCAATGAATCAAAAAAACCACAAAACAAAAATTTGAATCGCTACAGAGATGTGGCGCCATACGATCATACTAGGATTATACTTAAAAGAGGTGTATGTGATTACATTCACGCCAACCTCATACGGGTAAATATTTTATTTTACATCATTTTTTAAATAATTTTACCTAAGTAACGATTGATAACGATAATACAAACGGTATTATGCTATTTATTCATACATTAGGTGGATCATGCTGAAAGGCAATATATCTTGACGCAAGGACCTTTGCCAAATACTGTCAGTCACTTTTGGCTAATGGTATGGGAGCAAAATAGTAGAGCTGTATTAATGTTAAATAAAATAATTGAGAAGAACCAAATCAAATGCCATCAATATTTTCCACTGGATGATATAAAGCCTACCATGGTATTTGAGGACGTCAATATAAGGGTAGATTATATCAGCAAGACAGAATCATCCGATTATACTACTAGGACATTACGGTAGGAAACATTTATTATAAATTATATTATATTGAAATATATATTTATTACTGATAATCATTTTTAATTGTTCTATAAGCATTATGACATATTCAATATTTTTAATTTATCTACAGTATAACGGATTTGGAAAGTAACGATAGTAGAGAAATCTTACATTTTCATTATACTACTTGGCCAGACTTTGGAGTACCGCAACGTCCAACGGCCTTTCTACGTTTTTTGGCAGATGTCAGGCAATCAGGAGCATTAGATCAAAATGTTGGCCCTCCTGTCGTACATTGTTCCGCAGGGATAGGAAGATCGGGAACATTTTGCTTGGTTGATGCATGTCTAGTACTAGTATGTTGAACATAATAAGCGCTGATTTGCAGAAAATCGCTTTGGTAATCGTTAATTATTTACTATTTGATTGCAGATTGAAAAATATGGTTTAAATGCTCTGGATGTACGGCACGAATTGATAGAAATGAGACGATCTCGTATGGGTTTGATACAAACACCTGAACAACTTTGTTTTTCATATTCTGCCATCATTCAAGGAGCAAAACAATTACCTCTTAATAATATGGTAAGTAATTGATAATAAATACTGCTACTATCCTAATAAATCAAAATGGTAACTATTATTTTTAATTTTTATTATATTTTTTCTATATTAATATTTTGATAAATATTAAAGTATTTGTTTTCTTTTTATAAAATTAAAATATTAGTAATACTTTTTCACATACATATGTACATACATACATACATTCTCTTATTTAGAAAATAATACTTTTTGAATAAGAAAATGTTTTTAACAAAAGCTATTCCTGTAATATTAAACTATACTGATCAAATTTAATCATCCATCCATTGTATCTTACAATGTACTTTACAGAATATTAGTGACAACGAAATAACGACTCATGATGAAATAATAACGATGTATGACGAGATGAATAATAAGAATAATTCTTCGTTAGAAAAAGACGATGAACCTCCTCCTTTACCACCTCCAAGAGGAGAATCTTTAACGCGTAGTATGATGGCAGATCTAAGCCCGGATGGGTCAACTGATAATGGTATATATATATATATATATATATATATATATATATATTTTAAAATTCCCTATAAAATTTTACTAAAACAATATTTTTAAATCATAATAGATTGTTAATAATAACATAGTAATTTCAACTATAGATGAATTAGGTGGACCACCTGATAAACCACTACCAAGTGAACCACCAAATCATGTAGAATTATCTACAGATATGAAGTCTACATCTGTTACAAATTGTATAGGCGAACAAAACGCGGATGATGTCGCTGTACCTGATGAGACTCTTTCCGATGACGCTGAGAATTCCAGTTTAACAAACAATTCTCCGTCCAATTCAGACGCGTGAGTAACAGCGAAATGTCTTAATAATAAATGCAAATTATTTATTGTCTCCCTTGGTGATTATGAATTTTGTTCTCTTGAAATAGGAAAGGGGAACTACGTCGACGTAAAACGGAAAAGATTGAACGATTAGCGACACAAGTACGTGAGATGAAACGTCGGCAGAAGGAAATGGAAGAATGGCAGAAATTCAAGAGGTCATTATTTAATCCCTGTAAAATATGCTTCGGCATTGGAATCGGTGGGGGTATTATAGCGATTTGTTACTATCTGTACATGCGTAGTTAAATCTACCGTATCACATTTAAGAATATATGCATCGTATATATGCATCATCTTGTAAACTGTCAGTAACATTTCGATGACTTGCATAATCGAGGAAGATTACTGTTAACATGTGATCCTATTGTGAGGTTTTAGCAACTTCTTAATCCTGACTGCAACATTTTCAAAGGAATAACTGAACGGTTTTATATCATACAATCGATAGTAATAATCAAATAGCAATACCGCAAATCACAATTTCCACTATCGAAAGAATAAGTATAATGAAAAAGAAACAATAGAGAAAACAATGAGAGAAAAAAGAGATAATGCTGAGAAGTTCAAAATAGTGCATTTTTAGAGTGCACAGTTACACATTTGAACTGTAAGAAGAGAAGTAGATGCAGATGAAAAAAGAAACGAGATGGATTATTGATTTGTATTTTTATATTGTGATTTATTCGCGATGAGTATTTAAAATGTTAGGATATATTCTTTCCATAATTCTTTTTCTTCTTTTTATTATATTGCTATTTACCTGGAAACAAATAGTTTATTTAAAATACGCACTTATAGAAACATGATAAAGAAAAAAAAGTAAATTTTCCCACATTATGATAAAAATATATATACATATTACAAGGATTGTGTTAACTTATTATTTAAGTAAATAATCTACAATTCTTGTAAGTAAAATATTTACTCAAAAACTAATTATGCAATAATATAATCACAATATAATCATATACCTTTATAAATATGATTGTGTGATTTGCATGAATTTTAATTATTCGATTTTTTTTTAATTTACTTATAGCGTTAATATGCTCGTATAGGGATACATGTAGACATGCAGAATTATGGAGATATAGGAAACTGAATTACAAAAGTTAATCTTATTGAATTTGATTTTATTATTTCTCGCAAATAAATTATAGATGCACATTTCTATATCAAAGTTTGATCTTTTTCTTGTTATTCAATTAATATAAGTAAAAACAACAAATAAGCAAAAAAAGAAGACAAATTACATTTTTATGATTTTTATCTAATCGCGTGTTTTTAAGTGAATTAAACTTAATGTTAGTAATATTTCAGGATACCAAAATAAGTCTGGCTTTTTGAAAAGCTTTTAGGAAAGATTTATTTCTAAATTACTTCAGATTTATAATTTAAATTCATATTTTTAACAATGCAATTTATGTGTACATAACTGAAAAAGCATGTTCAGCTTGTAAACATGTAAACTTCATTTTTATGAAAATATGAATTTAATAATCTGGAAATATCTATTTAATTTCCTTAATAATGTTAAATGGGTATATTAGTGATAGGTCTAGAAAGAATTTGTTAAACAATTTTATTATAGTTCCATAGATAAATGTTTTTTAATTGCTGATTGAGATAGATTCTACTATCTTATATTAAAGCATTCATGCAAATTTAGATTATGCACATATTACACATCAACATTTCATAAAAGGATTTTAAAATATTTCTCATTTATCATAATCTTGCTTAAATTTTTTATTATTTTTATTTGGCTATGAGAGTAAGATATACTTTTTTTTATTTATAATCTTTTTATTTTTCTTTTGTTACAACAGAATGTTATATCTCATGCAAATCGCCATCTGGGATGATGATATTTGATAAACTCATACATGTTTACATGATTCCTATTTTATTTTGCACAATTGATAGCTTGTAGAATTAATTATTTTATTATGCACGCACGAGACATTCCTGATGTATGAATATTAGTTTCAAATTTTTTACATTTAGTTTTAATTGAATTATTTTGATATTATCTTAGATGCGATTATGCAAACGGAGCGAGTTCGCTATATTTATCAAAAGAATTTACGCTATCAAATTATTTTTACACTTTCTTTTTCCTATCATTAAATAATTTACAAAAAACTGTCACGAATTTTTAGTTTGACATGGAAATTGTTGATAACAGTAAAAGGAAAGACAAAAATATGCTATAAATGGTGAAGCGTTATTTTCAAAAGTTACTAGTGATCTCAGTTTATTCTCACTTAAAATTTTTTTTTAATTAATTTTTTATTCGTGCATTTATTTAAATAACTTTATTAAATTTTAAAAATTTGATAGTTATTTGAAGTTACATTAATCATTAGGAAGAAGTTGGAAAAGATTTAAAATGAAATCTAGCAAATGTGAATTCCAGCTCAATTGCCCAATATATTATAAACTGTGCATTGAGCATTGGACAAAGACTGAATAAGTCTGATGACTTCTAGAAGGACAGAAAGAAGAGAAAATAAACGAGCGGTAAAATTAACAAAAGTTAAGCCCGCATATTCTTAAGTCGAGCTTTTATATAAGCCACTTTGAGAGAAAGACTTGTCAGATCGTGTTCCAATCCAAAGATAAAGCGTGATGAGAAAAATGTGCATCTTTAAAAGATGCGCGTCACTAAAATCGTATTTTTTACTTTTGTACGTTACTGCCGTTGGAGCACGATCTTCCAACGAGGTTTTCGGACACGTCGTACTTGCGCATATCGACGTACTCGTTTTCGCGTGATTATGTACGTAGAACGATACGTTGCAAAAGAAATTGAAATAGAGAACAGAAAAGAAACGCAAGCGAGCGAGAGTACTCCGCACGGAACACGATGTTGAGGAGATATGCAGTATTCTATTGTCAGCAACACGTTTTAACTTTACGCACTAATGTACTATTGTTATCTAATTTTTATCGAGATATTATTTATATAAGTATAAACCGCAGTCTGCGACAATTCGATTGGAACAACGCGACTATTTTTCGTAACGATCGTATCCTCCATCATTGGCGAAACACACCATGGCATAGAAATCTTTCAGCCATTTTAGCCATTTCATGTTTTCGAATTCAATCGGAACGTGTGATTTCGAGAATGGCACGTATAATTTGAAAATTCGCAATTATCCATCCGTTTTGTGCACTAAAAAGAAAAAGAACCAAGAGAAACGATCGCAGACGCTCATCTCTCCTGTTGTTGGCGATTGCGCGAAGCTTCCGGAAGTGAGATATATGCTCATGAAAGTTCACAGGTCACGAAGACACGGTGCTATTTAAAAGTTCCAAAATCGATGTGCGTTCCGAAGTGCGTGCGTGCGTATGCGTGCGTGAATACGAAATGAGAAATGAGCGTGTATGAGAGAATGAATGTGAAGGAACGATGGGAGCAGTCACCGATGTTGATCGTGTAACTCACATCGAAACACCATTCAGAAAAATGAGAGCACGTTTTTGCATTGCCACTAGAAATTCATTTCCCTCGTATATAGAATCTTTAATGTGTATTTTTAATTTTTATTATAACGTTTTATGTCATCGAAATCGGGTTTTTTTTTACTTGCCGATTACATTAGATATAACAATCTGTTTTTACACATGATATAAGCATAAGGTCTCTGAAGAAGAATCTATGGGATTCACATTCAGCATCGGACAAGGCATGAAAGAACAAATTCAGCGACGCATTCTTTTATACTGCTCGTGTGCATACAATAGATATAACGTTATTAACAAACAGAACACAGAAACATAGCTAAGTGCCTACTCGTACAAACAAGGGGAGGGAAGGGAAATATAGCGATCGGTGAATAGCGGTAGCGACTTCTCCCCTTTTTGGAAGAGCATAGTCACCGTGGAAGCGAGCCGTTTTTATTATTCGACAATATATATAAATAGATAGTTATCTAGTAAATCTAAGATTGATTTCGAAATGACATTCTCGAACTTTACTATATTTGAGATAATAAAGTATCACCTTTCTCTTATTTTATTTTTCTATAATATAAAATTTTTACGAATAATGCATATCTTTTTGATAATTAAGAATTTAGTTTCTTCGATATATATTTTCTACTTGTAAAAATTGGCAGAACTCAGCATGAAATAATGATGCAACTCTTATTAAGTTACGATTTCTTGCTATGTTATAAAAATTAATAAAAGAAAAATTAAAAATTTTATAGAGAAAAATCATCTCGAATCAATCGATCAATCAATCAATCTATCATTATCTCCGGATTGCCGAGCGATCATGCATCAGGGTACTGACAGAATAAGAGTAATGATGTTTTTGAAGTTTATTTTTGAAATCTTTCGTTAAAAGATATCGCGGCAAGATTTTTCATCATTAACTAAATGAGCTTGACCTTGATCTTGCGTAAGGAAATTTCGAGATAAAAGCTGCAGAAGCTTCCGTCTTCAATCTAAAGCAATATAATATACCTGGATTATGGCGATGTCGAATGTTTGCGATTTGATCGATACGCTTGGCAGCCGGACTATATAATAATAGTAAGAATCGAGGATATGCATTAGGCAGATGTAAGAATGGCGAGTCAGGAAAAATTAACGATTCTTAATTCTTAGAAGCGCACCAGCTAGAGCATACTTTTTATAAATCATGATGTTTAATCTACATAATGCATCCTTTATATACGACGGGGCCTTTTTACAATTACTGACGATTATCCATCGTCGATTACTAACACGAAAAAAAATGTGAATTTTTCTCAATACAAAAAAATAAATACTTGTGAACGTGCTTTTCAAAGGATTAAGATAAAAATATGTAAAAATGGAGCTACACTTGTCCGATTAATCGATTACTAATTGGAATTGGATCTTACAAAAGAGTGATTGTTTTTAATTATATCAAAAGCAATTAGTTGAAATAAGTAGAGAAATTGCAAGAAAAAGAATTTGTAAAAATTGCAAAATAATACTCTAAAATAACTCTGATTAAATATTCAGATGACAGAATAATCTCTTCTTACATTATGTTTATTATTACATGTACTTGAAGAATAAAAAATAATTATCGATTAATCGTACAATGTCGATGAGGCTAATATTTCTCCTTCTGCCCATTCTGCATCCTGCACAACTCGAAGTGTAGTTAATTACATTTACGATGTATCGTTGTAGAAATTATAGCGTCGAATGGTATTTTAATGTATAAAAAATTGAATGCACAGTAAAAGAAGGGAAATGACAATTGGAAGCATATGTAAAAGAAAGAAATGGGAAAGGAAAAGAAAGAAGACAGGCGAAGAAGGGAGGAGCAAAGCGCGTAAAGGAAAATTTTTTCAATTTGCTACAGTAATACAGTAGGATTTCACAAATTATTTGGAAACCATTAAATTCTTTTGCTGATATTGATTTTAATAATCCCTTAAGTGCATTTTATCAATTTATTCCTTTATTTTTACAAAGACTGTTGTAATAATATTTACTTATGAGCAAGCATTCGAGTTCTGATTATCCAATACAAATTGTTAAAATCTATTTATATATAATTGGCAATAATATAATGAAAAAATCGCGGGAGCGGCTTTATTAAATCGCTCTTACCGACCCTCTTCTTCGCCTGAATTTCATGATGGCCAAGTTGAACAAATAGGCACTGGACGACACATGAAGATATGTATACAATAAAAATATTTATACGAAAGCAACGAAACGGCAAGATAAATGCTCTCGCGAATATGGCCATGCATCAGGCCGATTCATTCGAAATGGGTCCCTCCTGTGAGAAACACTCATCAAATAGAGGTTGTACTTGGCAGATATTTTACACAACCGGAAGTAGAATTGTGAGAGTAGAATCTTTCACATAATTGTAGATTTCATACATCTTAAACTCGAAACATATAATTCAATTGTGCATTTTTTTCACCGCGAACTTATTTTCGCAAAATACCTTTTTGTGGACAGTCCGGATTCATGTACTGTGGATTCAGGTAATGCAGATGTTTTTTTACGAATCATCGACACAAATGTAGATTCCAGATACGTATGATAAAGTTTCTCAATTTGATATATTTTTTTTTTTTAGTTACATTTCCATAGAAAGATATAGATTTGATCAGGATTATAGCGCTGTGAATTATTATTTGTTAGATTAGATATCAAGATTTTGTTTAATATATTTCGTTGTAATATTTACGACGTTCGATGATCCATAAAAAAATTCGGTGTTTGCCAGGAGTACCTTATAATCTTAATAAAAGTTAAAATGTTTTGCATCTATGTTTTATTTGTAACTGGCGTATATTCGATTTTTGTTTGTAAGCGATGTTGAAAATTGAAACGGACATCTTGAATCGCATGTTATTTTTCAATTAAATTAATCTCTCGGCAACAATAACGGCTGTACTAATATCAATGTACTTAATTGAATATCTTGAATATTATCTTGAAGTTGCGAATTTTATTTCTGTAAATGTATGGATTGCTGATGATAGTAGTACATCAGTTATTGATTCTTTACCTTAAAGTTGATTGGATCGTTCATTTAGAAAATTGTGTAATTGTGTAGAAAATTGTGAATGACAAATTTGTCAATTCTTGATAAATAATATTGCTAAATAGTAATTACACAATTTTCGAAATAAATGGCTCAATTTATGACCCCGATTTCGCCTTGTTTTGCAATTTCTCTCCGAGAATCTCAAATCGCATAAACACTGAGATATTTACATACAAATGACCATAAGATGCGAATCGTACAATTCCCTTTATACTATTACCTAGTACAAATTATTCTACCCTCGTTTGCTGTTTCATGCTTAATCTTCCACATCAACCTGAAGCCCGTAGAGATCCTTATCTGTTGATTTCTTTCAGATCAAAAAGCGAAACTGGCGAAAGTGGCGAATCTGTGCATGAGGAGGCTGAATCCACCATCTAAATTAAAAGAAAACCGTCCTTCACAATAATTCTCTATTGTGTGCCTTATCACGTTTTAAAGGAAATCATGAAAATCTGTTTCAGTACAATAAAAACAATAAAAAAATTAATAAATCAGGCTGCTACAGAACAATGTATATTTGCTTTCGCGAGTTCTCGAGTCCTGAATTATATTTAAGGATGAATGACTCGTGATTCTCGTCCTTTCCTAGTTATTGATCTTGCAGACTGATAAAAGATTGACAAAAATTTTTAATTGACAATTTACAAATTCAAAGAATAAAAATTGAGGAATATACATTAATACAATATATGAATGTTGCTATATTTTCCATTTAATTTATTAATATTTTATCTTTTTAAATAAATATTTATTATGAGATAAGTTAATTGAGGAGAATAAATAATTGCCTGAAAGTTTTTCACATAATTATTATTTTATAAAGGAATCAAAAATTAAATTTTTTATCATATACTAAGTAGGATATTTTTTTAAAGATGAATTATTATGCAATATAGATAAGAGCAAAATTGAATTTTCACATATGATGTGATGTAACAGAGTGTAACATCATGGCGTTCTCTTATGTCATACATCACGTGAAGATCTAACAACGATAGCTTATTGAATAATGAAATACTTTACAAGAATATATATATGACACGTTAAAAATAAAATAAATTAAAAAATTTATTTTTTTTAAATAATTAAAAATATAACAATAATAAATGAATAAACCTGCAGTTGATTTAGTTACAATACATTGATAGAGACAATTATGTATTAATAAAAATAGTATTAGTTAATGAAGTTTAATGTATATTAAAATAGTTCTTTAAATTTTTTGTTTTTGATTCTATAATCAAAATAATGAAGCACATTTACAATTATATCGTAATAAAATATAAAATTTGCAAACATAATAAAATTTGAATACTTCAATTTGCAACAAAAAATACATAACAAAAACAGATTAAGATTAGATGAAATTAAATATAAATTTTGATATATTTCTAAATACAAACAAGAAAATTTTAAATATGGACGATAAAAAGTTGCACGCTGTACTAACGACAAAATAGTTTAGATTTTGTTTTGATTGGCGTGTTAAGTTTAGGGAGTATAGAATGTGCGCGGATTGTCGTATTAAATTATCTATATTTTACGCGTAAATAGACCAGCATCGTGGGGGAGGTATGATCGTTCCCTTGTAGCCAAGTTAACACCTGCAAGGCTGGCAAAACAAGAAGCAGCGTAGTACACCCAGGATAGATCGGCGGTGTGTCATGTCCATCTGGTTTACCAGGTCAGTTATCACTTGCCGTAGAACGTCATTGTATAATTAGCGTGCTCTGCTTTGACGTCATTGTTTCATATAAATACTGAATGCACGATCCCGACTACCATAAACTCGCGAGAGAGCTGCCTACAACGTGCTATTGTACTCTTAACAAACACTTCGCATTGAATAACGCTATCCTCCTTTGAATAACGTAATTAACGTTTTTGAGCGTGCTAAAACGATTATTATTTCCTTGTAAAGGATTATCGATATAATCTGAGACTTTAAAAAATGGTAAGTATATATTTCTCGAGTCAAACAAATCATATATTGAATATATAATTTTTATATTGAATATCTTTATGTAATTCATACAATTAAAAAAAAATTTAATAAAAATCGTTTTTCTGATAAATTAACTTTAAAATAAATTAATAAATTTTGAAACTTGAACTATTCATAAAAATTTATTTCAAAAATAAATTTCCGTTTTATTTTAATGAATACATTCGCGTCTATATATATCGAGATATATTTTCCATATTTTTCTCTAAAATAAATTTAATCTTAAAATAAGTTTATTTTTATAAATTTTACTTTTTATTATGGTACTTGAGTTTATATTCAAATTAATTATGTGTAAATTTTTAGATCGATACCGATTGAATTTAAAATGCAATTTTTTTTCTTTCTTAGATGGCTATCAAATTCGTTATCACTGTGCTGCTGTTCGTCGCTTGCTCTTACGCATCACCTCTTAGAATGGCGAGCATATACGGTTCTCCCTTGTTTATTGTTGTTACTCAAGAACTCGATGATCCTCAAGCTACAATAAACGAGGAACCGATATATGCATTAAGCGACGATTCTAAAGTCGCGGATAACAACGCGAACTCCAACATTGAAAAGCGCAGCGCAGAGGAAGCAGATGATGATGATGATGATGACCTCGAAACTGCAGCTGGTACCAATGTTCTTCGTCCTCTCTTCGTCTATCGTCAACAGGTTGCTTATCGACAACGTGTTAGAGACGCGATTCGACGAGGTAGAAGAATATAAGTGGAAGAGGAAAAATTGATTTGGAGATTTCGAGATTGCAACTAATTGTTGTCTCATTCTGGTATTATCGAGAAGATAATGCATTCGAGATATTTAAAGACCATGATGTAAAGCCTGAATGGCCTAAAAGCTCTAAAATCTTCAAAATCCTAAAAAAAGGATTGAGAAAGAATCGAGTCTGTGATGAGAAAATACCTCACAAATGAGATTTAGATCAAGATGAACAATTAAAGGAAGATGAACAAACTAAAGGCAAATGAAAAATGACTTTGAATAATCAAAATAATTTGATTATATAAAGTCCAAAAAATAGCAAGATTTTGAAAAATAGCAAGGAATAACGATAATATGATTATTTCTGTAGTGAAACTCATATCCGAAGTTTGCCAGAAGCTGTATAAAATAAAGCTTATCGTTCACGGATATTTATATTTATATCCATAAACGCCAAAAGAATAAGAACTCAAGCTTATAAACAACGGAAGATACGTCAATATGAAAATTTTGAATGCAAATAAAACTGTTCTCTTGTCGGAACTTACTGAGATAAAAATATGTGAGGTATAAAAAAAATACAGAGAGCTCATAATAAAAAAAAAAACTTTTGGGAAAACCAGCGAACTTTAAAACGGCAACCAAAAAGGAATATTGAACTCGTTAGTATAATTACGCTAAAAAGGTTGTGGACTTCGTTATTTCGACGGCATGAAGATTAACGGCACAAATTAACAGATGCGGACTAATCTTCCTTCTGTGATTCAAAAGAGTCTTTCTCTCTTTTTTTTTTTTTGTAACGGAACATCAAGAGCGACCGAAAAACGGAACATTAAAAGCGACCAGGAAAGCATTTATCTTATGATCACATATGATCTCTTATCAAAATATTATATTTATATTTATATTTAAGTAAATTACGATAGATAAAATTAAATTTATAAGAGAAGAAGTTGGTTAAGATAATAGCTAATTAAGATAATAAATAGAAAAATCAGCAAAAAGAAAAAGAGGCGAATTAAGAAAACAATGAAATGTATTTCTTTTTAATGTAGGAGATGCATAACTTGTGTTTTAATTGTAAGTCGAACAGATTAGATAAAAATAGCGTTAATAATTAAAAGCTGTCTGACCAAAGTTCTAAGTATAAGTTATAAGTATAAGCATAATTAAAATGGCGTAAGCAAATTAATGATATTATGGATACTCAAATGAATGGATGAGAGAATATGTATGACAGTTATATTTGTAATACGATTTCTTTAAAGATATGTTATGTAATTTGTAATTAAACTTAAAATGAATGTGTATATGACATTTTATAAAATAAATATAAAATATTGATTATACATTTATTACTTACTTTTCATTTCTATTATTATTACAAATAATTTGTAAACATTTATAACATATAATATATTAATATAACAAATACATTTTTATCTGTTAATACAATTAATAATTATTTCTTGCCATGATATGATAAATTTATTGATACAATAGAAATAGGAAATGTTTATTAGAATTGAGAACAAAAATTGATAAAGTAACATAATTTATTATTTAATTTTAACTAAGAATTCTGATTATTTTAAAATATGAGATTTTTAAGAAACTTGCATCACAAGTTATTAGCTTTTAGAACAGACAATTCTAATATTAAAGAATATTAAAATAGAATGTTAGAATTTAGAATAAATACTTTTCATGAAATATTATAATCTAAATTTTAATCACAGATTTTTAATGATTTATTTACACTTATATAAACATACATTTATATGTATATTTTTCTACTTTTTCTTTTTATACTTTAATAACATTATGTCATTCTATCATGCTACTCTTCAAAACTATATCTACTTACATACATTATGCAAATTTAACTTCCCTTCAAACAGAAAAGGGAGAAAAAAAATCCAAAAACTTTTAGATTTATTTCCCCGGAAATACAGGATATCTTAAGTAGTTATGATAAGGCTCCCTCCTGTCATATGGTCGATATCTTTCATTTGGAAACTGTCCTCGATAATACCAATACGGATACGGAGGCTGATATCTATCTTCGGCTACGCCGAGATCACCTTTGAAGTTCGAACTCCGAACTCGCGACGGAACAACGTTTTTACTGTCGACAGATTGACCAGATTTGGAAGTATCGCCGGAAATACTCTCGATTGATGCGAGATTCGAATAATTCATGTCGCTTTTTTCAGCTTGGCGACTTGGACGAGCCGATATTAAACCAGGATCCAGCAGAATATCGTGAGATGACAAGCCTACAGTTGATCCTTCACGATACGTCTCGGCATCACTTTTTTGATCTCTATTGAATCTTGAAATTTGCATATCCTTAATATAGCTGCCTAAAATGTCGCCGGTTGAAGATGCGAATGTATCTGATGTTTTATTCAAGAACGATGAATTCTTCATATCGTGTTCTCCGTTTTGCGTGATGTTTTTCACGAGATTTTCGTGGACTGAAGACTGCTTAGCGTCATTCTGCACACTCCTTGGCTTCAGAAGATTTATGTGATGATTTTCGACATCACTTATGTCATGAGTGTTATTCTGCAAAATTTCATTCGTTGATGAATTTGCAGATATTGTTCCTGCCAAGATTGCAAGAGAGCAGAAGCTGAAGAAAATAATGCTGATCCGTTCCATTTGAATCTATCCACGGTTTTCTCGAATGATACAAAGAGTATAGTTTCCAATTGTCAACTAATGGCTTAGGTAGTTGAAGCAAGTCTTTTATAGCTGGTTGTTCGGGATTCATTGCTAAGTCCCTCGCTAAACATCTTCGAGTCTCGATATCGTTAAAAGCACGCTAACGATAAGTACAATATTTCTTCGTAGTCGGTCAAACAGTAATATTTTCATCTACTATATTATTTTGTCATTGTTTCGCAAATTTAAAAAATTAAATTTAAAACTATGTAAGTTAAATAAAATCTAATTTGCAATCTTTGTTATCTTCATCAACTTCAATATTCCATTTAAAATTATGAAAATATAAAAAAATTATTAATACATGTATATTAATTAAAACAAAAAGGAAATACTCTTTTATATAAAATAAAAATATACAAAAAATTATAACTCGTTAGAAATAATTATCATATAATTGGCAAATATGATCTACTTGTATGAGTTTCATGATGCAGCATCCGACGAAGTTTACCGCAAGGTTGATACTCACGTTTATTAGCAAAGAACCGATAATTCTTTCAGCACGTCGTATAAAGCCAGTACGATCCGTTATACCTTGACAGAGCTGGAAAATCCTTGGCGAAGTAGTCTCATCGAAGCAACAGGACGTCGCATAATTCTGTTTTTGCGATGAAAGACTCGCGGGTATGTTCTTACATTGATCATGGCGTTTGAAAAGTTCAATTTTCACGTAGCAATTAACACAACATATATAAATGTACAAAGAACATACACTACACTTTGCGTCATAAATAATCAATAGAAATCTTCTGTTCCAGAAGAATGATTTATAAAGTTACAAAAAATATAAATAGTAATTATATAATTTAATAAATTGAAATTGTTTAATCATTTGATTTTTATAATATATTCAAGTTTATATTTAATAAAATAATAAAAAGTAAAATGATAAATAATAAACATTTAAATGACAGCTTTAAATGACAAATTAATATTCAATCATTAATTTTATAAGCAGTAATTTCATATTTAATATTTTTTGTATAATTATGTTCTTATCGTTAAGTTAAAATTTGGAACAATAAAATCTGCTTATATTTTAATAAATTATAAATTTTGTCGATTAATAATTGTATCTAACTCATAGAGATTAGAAAATTAAACAGCTTATATTTAAAGATTTTAATTAATTGCATTTTAGCTTGGAAGCATCATGCTTTTTATAATCTTCTTGATATTTGTGGGAGCATCAGATGCAAAACCTCTTGATTATGAAGACGTTGCAAATCTGTTGCCAACGGAACCTCAAACTACAAACGATACATTGACTGCTATTGTACAGGATCCAGTGGTGCAAGATGCTGTGCAAAATGCAGTTGGCAATGGATCCTTAGAAGGCTTAGTAGTAAAAAAAAAAGTACTTGTTATGCCAGCCACTGAACCTAATAAGGTTTGTGTATCACATTCTATATATTTTTTTATAATATTAATTATTAATTAATTACTAATTAATAGATATTAATTTAATATTTTTGTTTATATAAAATATCTGCTTCACTAAAGCGGATAAAGATATTTAAAAATACATATATATAAGTGCTGCTGTTATTGACAATACTTGTTAATTATTATATGATTAAGATCATTATCTTTTATTAAATGATGACGAATAAAAATGATTAATCATTTATGTAATAGCAGTTCGGAAATGCTATTAGTTATCAAAAGAAATTACGTAATTCTATATTAGTTGTGGCGCATTATTGATTTGTTTTTAGCATAGAAATAAAATAAATAATTATTTAAAAAATAAACAAAACATATAAAATATTTGGATTTATAATGCCGCTATCTAAAGAAAAATAATTATATTTTCTTTTTAAAGGTAGTGTCACAACGTGAGCAAATCCTTGTCGTTCCTATGGTGCACTTAGAGGATGTACGAAAAAATATAACAGATACTGTAAACGCGAAAACCGATGTAGACGGTTTAACACTTGCAAATATCGATTCTTTTATTGAAAATGACGAAAATGGATATGCAAACTCGGTAAACTGTGCAAAAATATCTTATTGATTTAAAAAATGTTGACGTATATAATTAACTTTTTAACTTCATTTATAATTTTTTTTCTTTTTGTACAAAATTGTGCAAAATACTCTTATATATTTATATATTTTATATATAAATCCATCAATATTAATTAATTCATTGCATTTATTTTATATTTTACCTTTGTTAATTTTTAGTAGTTTTAATTCTTGGTTAATTATGATTAATATATTTTCAAAAAGCCGTGTGTAATGTGTTAAAGCTAAAAAAGATAGATAGAAGTTTATTTATTCTTTAAATATTAATATGAATTTTCTTTTCTTTCTTTCATCTATTTTTTATCATGCATTTATATAACGAGTAATTTATTTTTATCGTAATTTGATTACTCAATAATCTAATTAATTTGATTAATAACATAGAAGATTTATGGTTTCTGTTTTACATAATTTACGAAGAAATTATTAAGGGACATATGGTATGATCGTAATGTTACCGAATGTATGATCTTCTAGGAAAGCAAAGATAGTTCATCCTATGCATCGCAGCGTAATGATTTCTACGAAACATTAACCGAGATATCTAAGACTACACGGAAGCCAACGTTTCCTATCGATAACATACCACAAGAGATTCCATACCTCGTGTCAAACCCGAGCCAGGAAATAGCGCCTTCAGAACCACCGCCCGTGATATCAGTACCAATCATCGCATTTCTTGATCCCGCAAAAATTTCTAATGATAAAATTGACGTACCGATTGTGGCGTTATCACAAGATGAAACTTTGAAAAACCAAATGGAAAATGAACGCGATAAAATTCAACGAAACATTCAAAATTATGTTGATACAAGCTCGTTGAGCGTGGATCTTGATAATTGGCGACTCACTTCGTTTCCTTCAGAGGTAAATCAATTTTTCTTGATATTTAAGGTAACATTCTTTAAATTCTTTATTTTTTAGGAATATGAATTTCATTGATCGGTGGACTAGTGGTAAAACTGTAAAAATGTGATGATTATTACTTTTAGCTACTTTTAGCTACTATAATTAAATTTATATGATATTTTACATTACACATTGATAGTAAAAATAATGTCTAAAATTAAATCTAGAATTAAATCAAAAAAGCCTTAAATATTTGCAACATTTTATTATTATTATTATTATTATTATTATTTTATTATATATTATTATTATTATTATTATTATTATTATTAGATAACGTTACAAAATTTCGATAAATTATATTTGTTACCATGTAATTATTATGATCAATTAAATTAAAAATTAACTACGGTAGTTCGCTTTTAAAGACACAAAAATAAATGTATATGTAAAAAAATTAAAAGATATTTCTTTATTATAGATGCAAGTATCACCTTCACTGTATGAATCAAGCATAAAAGAGACGAGAAACGCGAATAATGTTAGTCCTGAAAATTCATTATCAGTTTTAATGCCTCGTGTTGATATTGTAACACCACTTTTTTGGACTTCGGATGCAGATATTAATTATTCAAAAGATCCACATGATATGGAAGTCGCCGCAGATATCGTTTTCAGGCCGCTCTTCAGATATCGACAAGAGGCGCAGCAGAGATCTTACAGAAGATCGACTTATAGAAGATACAATTCTTACAATTCCTATCCGAGACGTAATTATCGATACAGACCTCGATATTCGGATTATTATTATTAGTATTGTAATAGCGAATATTTTTATTACTAAAAAATTGAGATAACGTTAATAAATAACGATCTTTTATGATGTAGTTAACAGCGTTAAGAATTAAATGTGCAATTATTAAGTTATTAAATTTATTCATGTTTATATCGGAATTACTTTTTACTAGATGTGTAAAATTTAAATGCATTGACCAATGTTTAAGCGAATAAATAATTATTCATTATATAATTATATAATTATAATTAATAAATAATTAATAATTATTAATATTATATTAATATAATATTAATTAAACATTATTAAGCAAAAGTAAGAATTAATTAATTCAAATAAATTATATATTTCAAAAATTATTTATTTTTACATCTTTGTCATCGTAACCCATCCTTTCTTGTAAATATTTAGTGAATGAGCAATCGTGTATAATTATCTGTTAACATTGATTTTAATTGATTCGCAATTCAATTATGCGTCATAGTCAAAGTTAAACTTGACAACCTCGGAGAATATGATTTTCATTTTTCTGATAAACATGTTTTTTCACATTACATATGGATTTCTTAGAATAGAAAGTGTGTGTGTATATATTACGCGAATATAGTCGCGAATTTACCGCTAAGAGTGGAAGCTTTGGAATTAATTTAATGAATGGTATCTCTCGAGATATTTAGAGATCGTTTATCTCCGGCGCACATCTTGCATATGTAGCGTGTATCTGTATACGTACGTCCCAAGGCGGAACGTGAAAGGGAGTCTGTGTATAGAAAATGTGTTCTGCCCTGAAAAATATATAAATTTGTGAATACAGGTTAATATCTTTCAGCTGTTTTCATAAAAAAAAGTAAACAAAAACCGGTATGTGTGCCCCTTTCAAAAGTAGCACTGTGTATAAAAAGTAGAATATGTGCATAATTATAATTTTTGAATCTTATTATATACTAACAGTGAATAAAGTAAGATAGATTAACTTTCTACTACTGCTGAACAAGGAAATTTTAATTTATCAAATAATATTCTATCAACTGGTGTATAATTATTGCAACTGATTTTGTATAGAAATAAATATTTATATTGCCTTCTCCATTCTCTGTTCAAATATTTATTTATTACTTTAAAATAATAATAACTTTATAATAATAGAGAGTTATCATTATTGTATATATCTACGTTTCCTACAATAGTATCCGTAAGCAACTATTCTATTGAGTTGAGTTATTATTATATATTTGCATATCATCTACATTTCCGCAGTAGTTTAATATTAAATGCATAACGAGAGAAGATATATTCGAAAGATTTTGTGCACAATACATATTATAGTTTTTAACATTAAACAACAATAAAATTGCAGATGTCAAAACCATTCGCTCTTATTAAGCAAATCGTTTGATGAATGATTATTGGCGTACTTACTAGGAATACGGTAGAAGTCCGTAGTAAACGTGTCATTGTTAATGTCCTCGAGGGAAACAGTTAGTCACTCGCTCGTCCATCTATTCATTCATGCAACGTAAAACAGTGGTTGCCTAACTTCTGATGACGTACCAAACTTTTTGATTAGCGTAATAAATGTGTTTTTTATGAATAACCTGATAATACGTCAATTAAGATTTATATATAAAATAACACGTCATTTTAGTATAAAATGTTAATAATAAAAAAAAACAAAACAGATTTGCTTGCATTTGCCTTACAAAAGAGAATGTTTATAAGAAATAATCAAATGTTCCATCACTCTTTTTTTAAATAAGTTAATTAGTAAATTAAAAATTTCATACAATTAGTCATAACAATTTGAATAAAAATATAATTTTTGTATCTTTTTTTTACAGTTTTTGTATCTTTGTGACAAAATTAATTTCAAATGAGAAGCACTGTTACTGATATTGGGAAAACCGCTTGCATATGTAATATATGTGAGTCGGATTGCATTTGTGAGTCGTACGAGTAAATGTTTAGCAGGCAATGAATAGGTGTTTAACACTTGCAGAATTCATTATCAACTGCTAAAGCCGGAAATGCCGAATTTTGTTTATAGGAAGACTGAAGATAATTCCGATACCTGTATTATATCACAGATGACAAATTAAATTTTATAACAAACTAAAGAAATATTTTTATTTTATAATAATGATATCTGCTAAAATAACAAAAATAATAATAAAATAATAAAATAATATTATAGTAATAATATAATATAATAATAAAGTAAATAAATAATTAATAATAAAATAATAAAAAAGCTAAACTTAATATAATAAAAACAAAGATTGTAAATTAAAAAAAATTAAAAAAAGTTTCAAATAGATAGAATAGAAAAAATTATTTTGATAAAATATGTGTTAAAATTATATTAATTTAAATTTTTTTAATTTATATGATATTTTATTAATTTTGTATCTTTGTAAGTTTTATAAAGTGACTTTAGATTCTGGGACTATTATTTCGTATAGGAATAGACGAAAGTCTGTTCTCTCCCTAACTGTTCTCTTTTTTTTTCGAGGGCTTTCACCCGTGCTCATCTCGGGTTGCAAAAGAAACATCATGGATTTTTGAGTGTCTTCACCAATTCGCGGTTCGTTTACGAAGGTGACTCACTGTAGTCTCGCAGTGGCGGGATTTTTACTGAGAACAAGCTGTGCTCTCGCTTTACAACGTATCTACATATTGCAGATTCCTGTGTGAGAGTAACTTAATTGCTGTTCTTCGAGATCGCAGACGGCTTACGTATATAACCGATGTGCTGTCGATCTTTTCCCTCAAACGCCGTCTAAGAGTCAGAGCAGGAACTGGAAAGCGAGCTGGACAGCCAGGATACTTGCAACAGGAAGAAAGGAAAATTGCACGATGAGATTGGTATTAACGGTAAGATGCAAAGATGACATAATTTATTTAATAATTAATCTAATTTTTGAATTTAATCATTTTCTAAATTTTATCTTCAATATATTTTTGAAATCTCTTTGATTATCCAAAATGTTCCATAATTTTAGATAATTATAATTTCATAAAATTGCAATTGATTTAACTATTATTGTAACATTTATTTTCTTTGTTTTACTTATCTATTATTTAGTAGATATAGTAAATATAGTAAATATAGTAAATATTATAGTAAATATTATATTAACAAATAAAATAAAAGTATAATAAACATAACAACAAAGATAACAAAATAATAAGATATAATAAAATATGTACTGTTAATACTATATCAATTGTTAATTTTTTTATTAAAAGTATATAAAATTTGCCTATATAATCATAAATATATTAAATAATATTAATTTTAATGTATATTTTATTATTATTTTAATGTATATTATATTTTTATTATTTTAATGTATATTATATTTAATAATAACGTAATGTATTTGATTTTGACTGCTTTATTAATTATACATTTTAAATTTATTACTATTTTTAAAGTTTGATTAAATTTTAATTTTTTACGTATTTATTTACAAAATTTTAAAGCTTTAAAGGAGAAACGTACTGTTGTAAAATATCATAAATATTATAAATATCTTTTGCCAATTATTATTAAAAATAGGAGTTGTAAACGTTAATGAAATTCTATTTTATTATCTTTATTATTATTAGCAAATAATAAAAGATGGAACAAACAAGAAAATTGTTAAATCTCGCCAAGCAATTTTCGATAAACTCGCGGAAGTAATGTTTCATTCCAATTGTGTAAATGACATTGAAATGTATTGGCTTAAGGAAATGTGTAATCTTCCGCGTTTTTATTAAGGCATGATTAAAATCGTGGCAAACCGCAAAAGATAATATTTATTTATTTCGCAGCAGAGATTATGTCAACTTTGAGGGAAAATTAAAAGATACAATTTTTTCTTTAAATTTAATATTTAACTTATAGTGTATGTGTATGTGTGATATATTTTTATTAATATATTTGCATTTTTCTCTAAACAGAAAGGCATTTTTATGTGTATAATATACTATTTATTTAAAAATAAAAGCTATTGAAATTAATATCTAACATAAATAACATAAATAAAAGCAAATCTATTTTTTAGCTCATTTTACTAGCTGTTTCGCTGAGCTTGAACAGCGCGCGAGTTCGACAGCGTACAAATATTATATTAAATTCCACTGTTCGATCAACCGATCAACCAGATTACGCGCAATCGCGTAAATCCTCCAATAACGAGGGACGCATCAAGCTGGTGCAGATCCACAATCAAATTGGATTAGACGGTAAAGTGCGAAGAATCCATTTGGATTCCAATGAGGAGGATAAACCCGGCATTCGCGCTTATGGTTTGCCGAAAAAACGTCTACAAGATGATGGTATTATCGAAAGATTGCATCTTGAAGATGATCGCATTGATCGCACCTCAAGAAATGGTCGATTGGTACACTATCATACACTAACATTATCTTTAATTAATCAACATAATAACTTCTTGAATATATAATTTAATTTTTTTGAGATTTCTACCTTACCGTTACATTAGTTTTTGGAATGACGATATTAAGAAAAAAAAAAATTAAGATAACACATTATGTATATGTATTAAGGAATATTATAAATACATATATTATATATATTAAAAAATTATATTAAATTTAATTAATTGTTGAGTTAAATTAACAAGGATAAAAATAAAAAATTAAAATTTTAATAATTCTTAATTGAAATGTCTTTTAATTATTCTTATTATTATAATGTAATAAATACATTATCGATACAAATCATTAGATTTATTATGTTTTAAAGACAAATTATAAAATACAATATATTATGTACAAACAATAAAAGCTGTATCTCTTATAGGTGGAAGCTTATGGAATACCGAAAAATAACATGGAAACTAACGGCTTTATAGAAAGATTGCCATTGCCAAGAGCAGGTCATCAAGTTGCTTCCAAGTTCGGGCCAGAAAGCGAGAATGTCAGAGTAACGAGATCGGTTCGCACAGGCTCCGAAAACAAGGTTGAAGAGAAGGTCGTTAACGAGGCGGAGGACATGGTGGCACAAGACGCTAAGGTCTTCAGGCCACTTTTTGTTTATAGGCAGCAAGTGGCCGCTAGAGAAAGGCGAAAACATGCGAGGAACGTAGCACACAGGAATCATCGGCATGCGACACATCAACCCTGCCATCATCGACGAGTGATCTACTGACTTCAGGAATATGAATATTAATATATTTTCTCTTTTCATTTTACAGAAGCTAAACTGATCAGTTTAGTTTAAAATTTAATTAGATTTTCTAGATAACAAAAGTATAAAGAGGAATCATGAAAATACTTAAAAGAAAAATACCTAAAAGTTTTACTCTTTTAAATTTTTCAAAATTATTTTTATGAATATTTTTGGCTGTATTTGTTCTATTTAAATTTTCTTTTAAAGTACTAATTTGATTAGTACTGGTAATATGAAAAAACGTAAAATTACAAAGGATATAAGATAATTCGTTTTATTCAATGCTGTTGCACACATTATTAAAATAATAAGATTTCATAAATTTTTGAAATAATCTATTTTATAAGTAACATTTTTTGCACGTTTGAACATCAGGTTAAAACCATGACTTTATTCTTATATATCTCGTGCACAATACCAAAAAGTATTATCTACATTATCTATTAGTATTTTAATTTTAAATAATAATATTTTGATTTATATTAAATTAGTTTATTATTTTAAAGAAATTTGCTTGTAATTTTATATATTAAATGTAATTATATATATATTATATATATTAAACGTAATTACTGCAATATGTATAGAGCATTATTAAATAAATTTTCAATTATATGGTCAATTTTCAATTATACTTTTTTTTACATAGCTATATTTTTTATATGATAATTTAATACTTTCGGTTCTTTCGGCAATCTATATCGGTTTTATGATATCATAGGTAAGAAATGGCATAAAATAAATTAATTGCTATAATTTTATTTTTTAATTTCCTTTTAGAAATATAATAATAGATCGGACAGATATTTCAATTTCCTATATATTTTATAAGTTTTAAGATCACGAAATTATTATGTTTTTAAAGAAAAAAATAAGGCTGTATGTAGCAATTAATTTATTGCATCATTTCTCACCCATGATGTTCAATATAGCTGCGACAGGGAAGCTAAGCTTTAAAAATTATCAATAAATGTTTAATTAATTAAAATAAAGATGTATTATATAAGCTTGCTAAAAAGAATCAATTATAATCAAAATTAGAATTAGTGTGAAGTTGTAAATCTTGACGTTTTTCCATTTTGACGTTTTTCTGACGGATTTGTTAATTGACAGTTGTGTATTAAATAAACTATAAATCGCACGTATTTTCGTTTAATAATACGCAAAATAATATTTAATTTATAAATTTATAACAGATAAAAAATAGTCATGCTATTTTAAAAATAAAAATATTAAAAACACGGTAAAAGAATGCATTAATATTTTAATATCTAACCACTTTTTGACGATATAGGTAAAATTTCAAAATCTATCTGTATAAATTCAAGAAGTTAATGCATTAAAAATAAAAACATAAAATAGAAGATAATTTACTTTAAAAAAATGTATAACAAAAAAACCATTAATTATGTAAGTAAAAAAGTTTCTTTAATTTGTTCTTTAATTATCTTTAATTTGTTATTCTTTAATTTGCTAACCATTCTTTTCAATTTATACAATAAATATTTTTTCATGCCTTTTTATATGTAAAGAAACAAGTACAATTTGTATTTTATTGTTAAATTTAAATATCAAAAATTTATTTATATAATGTTTCAACTAAAACTAATTTATACATTGTATTTGCGTATCAGCATGCATAAAAGAATATGGATTACATTTGGATTAAACAAGCTTATCTCTGCGATTATCATATATGCATTCGATTTATTATTGTTCCTTGTATTATTACCATTCATAATTTGGGAATGGATCTCTGCAAGACAATACGTAATAACGATCTTCAGAACAATTGTTGAGGTAATGTTTGATAATTTCTTCTCTTTCTTAAATATTATAAAGTATTCATCGAACATTTAGAATCCAACTTTTTTATTATTTTAATTTTTTTATATATTATTATATATTATATTTTTATAATATTTTTATATATTTTATATATTATTCTATATATTATTTTTTATATTTAATACATATATCTATCGTATATATCTATTATGTATATTGTACTGTATATTATATTATATACTACTAACTTTATCTCTCGATGCAACAAGTCTTTCCAGTTATTCTAAAATATATTTTTTAATAACATATTTATTTATTTAATACAAATTTTCAACTGTCACTTGATTTATGCCGCGGTATAATATATCGATTATAACTTTGACATTCGCCGACTAACACTATGACCTATACTTCACTTTCATAAATAAACGATTATTTATATAATACTTCTATGGAATTAATTGGAGTTCTAATTTCTCAATTGGATCATATAAATCGTCGTACTTAGTTAAATACATCTGTTAATAAAATGCACCTGGAGGAGGGGAAATCCATAGCTAGGTGCATTTATAACTTTCACGTTTTTGAATTTTCGGAACCTTTTATAAGATTTTTCATGACTTCTGCGATCTTGTAAAATTTCAATGTGTAGCATGTGTAGCAAGTGTTGTTACATGACTCATTATCATTCAAGTATCCTTATTATTATAGTTTTCTAGTAATAATAATAACTTATTCACAACTTTAATTTAAATAACTTATTATTCAAGAACTTATTATTTCTTTGCAGATCATATTAGAATTGATTATGTGGACTCTTTTTGCTGGTGTATCAATAATTTTAACTCTGATTTTTATATTTGATGATATATACCGTAGTGAAACACTTTGTGTTATCAATCAACAGAAATATTTACATGTAACACTATCTGATAAAACTGATAACGATAAAAAAATTCTCACATCATAAAGTCTTCAAATTTTAGAAAAAGGAATAGTTAAGATGCATAAAAATCCAAATTATTTTAAATTTTGATTAAAAATAAAGATTTTTATTTATAATCAAGCAAGTTTCTTTCTGAATGTATTTTATATTATTGTAAAATACTGTTTAATAATTAAATCACGTTAATTTTTAGCTATATAACTTTAGCTATTTAGCTTATTTTAACTAAATAAATTATTTTATAATGTTATCATATGTTTATTTAATTTTGTAAATATCAATATAAATTGTTTATTATTATCTATGCTTATTATCTATGCTATTCTAATTTCTCTTATTTTAAGTAATATTCTATTTTTAAATAATTTGTAAAATATTTTGCTTAAATCTAGATAAAATCTTAATTTTTTATAAATAAATTAATGAACTTTATCTAAAAATTTATGATGCTCTATGTGTATATTAACGAATATATAATATTCTGTATATTATTATCTTTATCCTTATTGGCTGCATTCAGCAGAAAAAGCAGCTTTGCAACTATTATAAGATTTTTCAATATGATTGGCTTATACATTTAGATTCATGAGAAACTAAGAGTAAAAATCAATCATATTAAAGATTTTCACACAGTTGAAGAGCTATTTTCTGTGCTGAATGCAGTCATTATTTGCTTTTTTGATGTTGACCTTTATTAGCTTTCTCTTTCATATTACCTTGATTTTATTATCCTTCTTCTTATTATTCGTGTCTCCCATTTTGTTATATAAATACACAATTTGTTATACAATGTCTCATTATTCGCTACTTTGTGCTTACATAATTTATAATCTCTTGTTATCGACACAATAATATCAATCAAACATTCCAAAAAAAGTAACGAAGAAAAATTATATAAAATGAAAAATTTATCTTTTCTTCAGATCAATTAAAATTGTATTACAGTTTCTTCTCAAATCTATTGTTGAAAGGTAAGTGCGTGTATAAAAGATCAATGCGTGTACGGTTATTATCAGACACCCTATACATATGTATATACAAGGTGTCCGATAATAATCATATCATCTTTCATGGGCAAGTTATATTGAACAGAAAAGTTTTATATCATTTTACGATTTTTGCAATAATTAAAGAGTTATTAATTTATACATATTACAAATGAGCGAGCTTTTGTACATAGAAAAAAGAAAATAGCTGCCATAGCTATATTATGTATAATATATGGATAGCTAATATTTAGTTGTGATATCTATATTATTTGCTACTCTATTTATGTATCAGGAGCAACAGCAAATCGTTTTGTTCTATACAGTAAATAGAGTAGCAAATAATATAGGTATCACAACTAAGATATTAGCTATCCATATATTACAACATATATAGCTACCATAGTTTTTAACAACGGCAACTACTTTCTTTTTTCCGTGTACGAAAGGATAATTCATCATTACACACGTTTATGGTTGCTAGTCACCCGATAATGGCAATTCACGCTCAAAGCATTAATAACATCATTCTAACCTTGTTTTATATCTAATAAACAATAAAAATAAAATGATGTCAACAGCGTTTTGAACATGACTCAGACTGCAGCTCATATGTCCTATGAACTCTATGTCCATCTTCGTTATTTCAAACATACGCAGAAGTGTTATTTATAAAAATTATAAGATTTAAAGAAGTATAATATAGTATGAATGATTTTGTGTGTGTGTGTGTGTGTGTGTGTGTGTGTGTGTGTGTGTGTGTGTGTGTGTGTGTGTGGTGTGTGTGGTGTGTGTGTATGAATGGTTGTAAATATTATTCAGTTCATTTATACAATGAAATTAATTATTAAGAATATAATATCATAAATTTTATAATTATTTTCTTAATAATTAATTTCACTGTATGAATAATTTTATAAAAACAACGTGCTTGTGAGAAACATGTTTGAAACACAATAATTATACTTTCTGTTAGATCTTGTAGCAAACGTGTATGATCCGATTTACAATAACGTAATAAGAAATGGCATTATTTCATTCAAGGCTTCACGTCCATCCTTTAATCTGAATAATTTACACTTATATTTATGTAACATAATATAATTAGCATATATTAATAACAAAGATAGTAAACTTCAATACAAACAAATAATTATTTCTGTCATTTTATCTTCTATTAAATATAAAGTATTAAATCTTTTCATTATTTTAATACATATTAATTTTAATACATGTATAATATATAGTAAAAAATAGTATTGATAAAATTTTTTATTGTTACATTATGTTATTCAAAAATGCCTTTAGGTAATTAATTGTCGACGTAAGATAAGATTATGTATCATAAGATTATGTATCACTTTAATTGAGAGGCTTTTCATCTTTACTTAAAAAAAAATCAAATTTTTTTTCTGATTTTTATTTCTACATCAAAAGGATTTCTTGAAATTCGCAATAATAATGGAGTTCAAATACATGCGTTCATATCATGCGTGCTGTTACGTGCCGTACTCGATAACTCGATATTCGAGAATCCTTTTTGTTCTTACTCCTTTTGTCGAATAGATTTTAAGTGTTCTGATATTAAAATAATTTTGAATCTTTCCTTTTTTTTCTTTTCCTCATAAATAAGACCCGACACTTTCCAATATAGGCTACAATTATCCCGACACACTTTCACTTCATGAGTTCGTTACAAGGTTGTTACTTTATTACTAGTCCTGTCCAAACAAATCATCTCAATACACATCAATATATTTTCCAATTCTCACGTTGTGAAGAAAACCCTTCCAATCATCATGCGTTTTGTGTCAAAACGCATGTTGCATTATTGATTATTACATTAACGAAAATACCGCCTATTTCGTCTTGGACGAAGATCCCTCTTGAACACGAAGTTCAGTTCTCGTCAAAAACTCGAAGCGGAAATCTCAATTCCCGTCAAGTGTATCATGTGTGAAAATAAAGTTCAGCTTTAAGACAGTTCCTTTTGATTTCTTAATTTCTTCACGTTACGTCGCGACTCGCACGTAACATTGCATAGATTTTCTAAGCTCCTTAGCATATGATTGTAAATATTATTCAGTTCATTATTTTAGTTAAAACTGGCATCTCTTTAGTCTAGTCTAATATATAAATATCTATAGATCCATAAGGAAATCTATTTTCACTTTCTATATGCTACATAGTCTTGGTAGAAGCTAAAAAATCGTTGATAAATAATTGTGTGCTTTGTAATTTATTGCGAATATTTCGAAACATTTTATGGTAAGAAAGGTTATCATAAGGTTATTATATATAAACAAAAACAACAATTTTTCATGGGAATTGATTCTCAAAAGAAAATAAAAAATTAATTATGTTAGTCGGCGAAATATTAAAAACGTCTGGTAATGAGTAAATGTTTTTCAAAGTTGTATCATAAATTTTATAAACAAAATAATAATGTATACAAAATAATAACAAGAGTTTTAACGGATTTCCTCTGGCATTTTGCGTTAAAACATGTGTTGTTCTGGTGCAAAAGTGATATATTTTTTTGGTAACCTGCATATTCAATGATGGTTTTGTAAGTTTTTTAAAAAGAGAACGTCTTGTTACAAGTTGGACAAACAGCAAAAACATTTGTCAAATAAAAGAACAAACAGCGTATGAAAGATACATGATAATCATCGCACAAATTTTTCGTCCAAGGAATCCAGAATTGCTTGATAATTGGAAAAATAGGCAGAAAACAATATCTTTGAAGAAGAGGAAAGTTATAGCGCCGATATTACAGAATAATCATAAAAAATATTAAAATTTTTGTTATATATAAATAAAATTAAATTAAAATTTTAAAAGTATTTTACTCGAAATCATATTTTTCGAGCTCATAAAAATAATAAAATAAAACTAAAATAAAACTAAAAAATTAATTAAAACAGTTTTTTATTTTTTTCCTCTTAAGCCTAACATTTTTGCGCGTATCTGAAAGAATTATATTTTTATAACTGTATATAAAATCAATTGCGAACAAGGTGATTAGAACGAGAAAAAAGAAGATCGAGAATGAAAAGAGGAAGGGATGAATGAGGGAAGAGAAAAGAATTTTGAGGAAAAGAGATTCTAATAAAAGGATGAGCTTCGGTGGTCAAGAGCAAATTGAAAATTTCTCTGGTAGAAAATAAAAGTTCCCCCGAGATTTAGAAGCGTTAATGAAGGCGATCTCTCTAGCAACCTCAGTCATCCTGAAGCCCTTTGCAAGGCGGAGGCTCCTATTATATGGCTGGACTCAATGATAATCACTCTGATTGGACTCGAGAGTGAAAAACATTAGATTTTGAACATATTCTTCCTGTTCGCCTCCTTTCTTTCATGATTAGAATAATCAGCGTATTATAAACTATTTGCAATCATTGTTAATCAATGATTGCCTGTATTTGTATACAATAAAATTCGATTTTTTATAAACAAAATGTAACAAATTTTTAGGATAAAAAATTTTCTTTTTAAATGCCATTATTTATATAAATTCCATAAAATTGATTTTGTTCTAGTCCTACTAGTGACACTATTATATAATTGATAAAAATCGAATAAATTTTCATATAATTTACAGAAGCTCAATCACTTCTATAATAAAAATATATTTCCCTTAATTTTAACGCCATTTCGAGATATTAAGATATATCTGTTCAAAAATAAAAAAATAGTTTTTAGTAATTCAAATATTATATAATTGCATGCATAAATTCATATCTTTCCATATAAAACACATTTTTCAAAAAAAAAAATTAATAAAAATAAACTAATTTTAAAGCCGGCAAAGGTGAAAGATATTTTAAATAAAGTATTACGTTTTGTAATATTACATGATCACAAGTAAAATCTCGATGTCGTGCACACGTAATGCCAAATAGCAACATAAAGTTATCATGTCAATTGTAGTATGTATGTGAGTGATATAACATGCTATCTCGTATCTCTCATGCGACGGACACGCGATAATTAAAGACTGAGTGATTAAATAGTAAATTAAACATAAAATGGTTGTACATAGATGTTATATTTATACTTCTGGATAGAAATGTAATAACTGTCATTTATATAAAATGTCACAGGTTCTCATATTTCCCTTGAGATTTTTTTATTTAAAGATTTTTTTATCAGAGCAAACTTTTTTCTAAATATTTACTAAAAAATAAAAATTAATCTTAGATTTAAAAGAAAGATTTTAAAGTAAAATTTAAAGATATTTAATAGAACTATAAAACAACAGAAGATTGTATTATGTAAAACTTAAGTTATAACTAAGTGATGATTATGTTTTCCAAATTCTAGATTGATGATTTAATACATAATCGTTATCTTTATGTCATCGTATCATAAGAATTTAGTAAAACGAAGTTGTTAAAAGACATATTTTCAAATATGTTCAATTACAAAATATTTTGAGTAAGAACCTCGATTATAACAGATATTATGACCTTAGTAGTTGTGACTTCTAACAGTCAGATTATCGATTAGATTTGTGTAGCGGAAAGCATTACAAATACGGATAAACTTAGTAAGTTTACGAGTGTGTTTCAGCCATAATCGAAGAGAACTAAAGTCGACAGACGTAGCACACACGCTTCGATAATCTGTCATGTGCCCCACTCTATGTTGCCGGCAAGTATGAGTTGGGGGTTCATCGCTTCATTATATGACGTCGCATGTAGTCACGATAAAACTTCGTATCAGACTATACGCGAAAACACAGTCGAGGCACGATAAGTGAACGTGTTTAACGTACGTTCAAATCGATTCTTAGTCAAATCATTAATTCTTTTTTTATCGCATTCTCATTCTCTTTGATGTTTACTCGATGTGACTCGAGGTAAAAACTACAAAGCGTACATTAATCGATATCACTCAGTGCTAGGTACCGCGATCCAACACTTCAAGATAAACAAGTCAAGTGTGAGGGCATCTATAAATCAACGTGGAATTTTCGAATCTGTTGGAAAAGAACGAAGGAATACCATGAGATATGTTGCGGCACTCGATGTTGGTACCACTACGGTACGTTTCCACATCTTGAATGATAAGGCAATCACAATAGCTTCTTCGGCTGAAAAGGTTTGTTACGCTTAATTCTTTATAACAAAATTTTTATGTTCAATATCTAAGAACAGATGACAAATTACAAATTACGTGAATTTGTACATAGAAAATTTCTTAGTAAAAATTGCTGACTATAAAAATTTAAATATAATAATATATTTATGTTTTTAACTTTATAAGAGAGAGAAAAATAAAAAAATAAGAAAAAAATTTTTAAATTCAATGTCATATTTTGTAATTACTCAATTATTTTCTTTCTTTCTCTATTATTAATTACAATTATTCTGCGATGTACTTTGTAAAATACTACGTTATACAAATGGGAATTAGAGAAAAATATATTACTATAATTCTTTGCTTGATTCTAATAATAAAATTCATAAATTAGAATTAATATTAAATCAACGATCTATCTTTACATTTAATACGCAAAATAATAATTGCAAATTGCAATAAGTAATAATAAATTTGTTTTTACTGTTAATCCTTGACACGTGCAATTTCTATACGTATATATATATATATATATATATATATATATATATATATATATATATATATA